GCCGCCAGTCCAATACCAAGCCCACAAAGCAGTGGAGACTTCGCAGGTTTAGGTCCAGTTGTAGGTGGTTTTGTCATGAGCTGTAGAGTGCAAGGGGAAGGAAAGAGCAGCAAGCCATTGGTACAACTAGCCATGAGGCATGTTACATGCGTGGAGGATGCCGCCATCTTCATGGCTCTTGCAGCTGCTGTTGATCTCAGCATTGAGGCATGTAGGCCCTTCCGCCGGAAGTTCAGGAAACCATCCTCCCATTCTATATGAAAATTAAGAAAATTCGAGTTAAAAAGAATGGAGGTGATTAGCATCCATGCACCCAAAACAGCTATGTTTTTCTTGATTGCTGTAACATCTGGGGTTGTGTACAGGAAACTGTTGTTTACAACTCTCTCAAAACTTTCTAATGGTAGCATTAAGCCAAAGTGACGTCATTATACATCGTTTGGACAGTAGTTTCTCATGGTGTCAGAAACTTTCTAATTTTATAAATATAGCAAGTTGATTAGAACTTGACTGCCTTTTTATTTTTTATTTTTTATACAAACAATACTCTATTTTAATATGATTTAAATTATGTGGACGAGATTTGAACTCGGATGCAGAGTAGGAAACACTGAAAAGATATCCCCAAACCTCAAAATTATGGTTTTTATGACCAAGCCAACAAACAAAACTAAACATCCGAAAAAAAAAAAGGCCTCGGAATCTAAATTGGGCCATGAAATTGTAGTTGGATGTGCAGCAATATTTTGAAGCTGAAAACCAGATGAAGGCAAGGCAATTCTGGAGTTGCTGTCACTTGCCACTACAAATTGGGGCTATAGCACTTGCCACTTCATGGTGGGTTTTGGTTTGTGGAGGATTTGAAAGACTCATATGTTTGCAAGTGCTATTGCTGAACCATGTCCTATATTGTGACAGTTTTGAATAAGCAAATAAGAAAAAAAGGGGAAAAAAAGAAGAAGAAATTGCTCTTAGAAATACAGGGAAATTGAAGCTTGATGATAGGGACAATAAATTGCTTTCAATCATGCAAGGTAATGGATAGTGATGGATTCCGAAATTATTTTTAAGGGGTGCGGATTTGAAATAATAAGATGATTATAACACAGGAACGTAGAGAATAATTTAACCCAAAAAATAAGGGGTGGGTTGACCCAAAAAAACAAAGAAGGGGTGGGGAAGAAGAAATATTTGTGTAGGTTTCTTTTGATGCTACGTCGTTTTCAAGTGTGACACATGGACTTAATTGATAACAGATGGATCCAACAGGAAATGAAAAGGAGAGAACAGACCAAATACTAAGGCCCAGTAACGTTTTCAAAGAATATTTTCTGAGAATGAAATTGAGAAAACGAATTTGCATTTTCAGGATTCGAGAATGAGTCTGATAGATTAATTGGAAAATAAATTCCGAAAATAAAAACAGTGAAAACAGTTATTTTTCAAGTATATTTTTGCTAATTTTTGTCCTATATATATATATATTAAATTCTGATATTTTTTAAAGGCTAAAATTATTATAAACAATGAAAAATGTATAATTTGATAATAATAATGTATAATTAAAATAAATAAAAATTCTAATGTTAGAAAAACCTCGACAATAAAATTCTATTATCTTTAGTTTAAAATAAATATAAAATTGAATAATATATGATGGTTTTATCATAAAATTAATATACAGTCGTGTAACAAAATAAAATAATGAAGTGAAAATAAAAATTGAAAAAATAAATGACAAATGAAAATAAAATAAAATAAATCAGACCAACCAATAAAAAAAGAAAAAAAAAGAAAAAAAAAAGGCAATCAACCAATACACAAGATAGAAAATGAAAACGATAATTTGGTGTTTTCAATTTTTGTACATAAGTTTGAATTTGTTTTCAGAAAATAACTTCCAGTGAAAATGAAAACGACATACCAAATGCGTTTTTGGTAGAAAATGAAAACAGGCGTTGAAAACGTTACCAAACGGCCCCTAATAATTCTTTTCATTTTTTCCATTCAACATGGAGTACAAACTGAAGTTCAAGATTGTCATGGAAACTGAAAGAGAACCAGCACGCAATTTCAATTTATATACTGAAAAAAGTAGTAATACAGGCAACAGAATAAGGCTCCTTGGAAAACAATGTCAAGGCAACAACACCACATGCCCATCGTTTGAAACACGAAAAAAAGCAAATGGGTATTGAAAACCACCTGATGTTAGTAAATGTTACAAAGCTACAGCACTAGGCTTCTGTTGTCTGAAATAACTTATCAACTTCGCCAATAATGGTTCGAGCTTCTTCAATTTCAGGGCCTTCCTTCTGGTTCAACTCTTCTTCTAATTCAGCCTGAAAATAAAGATCAGGCTTAACAAATTGGGGCTAAAGGAGTTGATATCCAGAGTAAAGATAATGAAGACTTATACATACCAAAATTCCTTTAAGGTCAGCTAGTGAGGCCTCCAAGCGCTTCTGACAATCAGGAAGCATCATCCTTGATTCAGCCAGCACATTTTCCTGTAAGGAAAACAAAGAACACATGAATTTAATTTGGAATGGATAGATAGCTTTCCATTAAACCTTTTGACAACAAAGTAAACAGCAGAGCTTCTCCAAGCAATCAAAGGCAGGATTGAGTCGATGGCCATTAGTCTAAACATTATGTGATCTAATAGGGTAATTTTTGGAACAACTAATGAATCTTCAAAATGTTAAAGAACAACTAGTAAACTAATTTATGCAGTTTAACTTTGCACTAGTCACAGTGCTCAACATGATATTTGGTAACCATATCTGTACTTGGTGTATATTGCGGACTTCTATGCATTCCAAACCTTTATTCTTCTGTGATAAAACTGTTAAATTACCATGATTTCTAACACATGGAAGTAAACAAATGAATCTGCGCATTTATTTGTACATGCACACTGCGCATTGCACATCTGCACATCTATTAATCACCACACCAATGTTTCAAAGATTGAGACAGATGGCAAAATGATCGATTACAAATTTCAAATAAGTCATCAGATGATAGGAACTTGGCCCTAAAACTTTACTAATGGTAAATATACTGATAGAATAGCTATTAATGAAAAATTAAGAACAAATGTGGGGCTTATTTTTCTAATATTGTGGTGGAAGCGTGTTAAGTGATTTTCCACATTTGTTCATGGGGGTAAAGTATATCTTACCCCTTTCTAAACATTATGAGGTTTCAAATTCCAATAACAACAGAATGATAAGCAGAAAAGTAGAATTGCTGCAGAAATTATTTAAAAGGAAAAAAGTCAACCTAATTTGAGAAATCTTAAGAAAGCTGTATGCTTCACTAAGTCGAATAACAGATTCCAATTGCAGGAAATGAAATATACCTAAATAACATAAATTGCAAAGAACAGATGCGACTCACATGTCACAAACAGAAAATATGACAAATTCCACAAAACCATGCAATTCCCAAATTCTACAAATCTTAACTGAGCTAATAACTGAACTAATTTCTTGTTTTCAACTAATCAAACGTCTGAAACAACAATAGTTTCATAAGAAGAACAACTGCAGTAGTATATAAATTTAAAAACGATGACAACTTGACGATGCAATCTGGTCTGTGATGCATGTCTGGACCATACCTGTTGCTTCAGGTCATAAGGGTCAGCTCCTTTCTCCTTCATGTCTGCTGTTTTTGCAGCTTCTCTCTCAACCTCCTTCTCATAAGAATGAAGCTCCTTAACAATGCGTTTGCAAGTACCAGTCTTGATTTTCAGATTTCTTAGGGTTGCCATACTAACCTATCAAAAGAAGCACTTTCTTGAGTAAAATGCAAACTATTATAAATCATTTTTGAAAAATATCCCCGTTGGATACGGCAAATCTCCGAAAACTAGGATACGAGTCGGCAAGGATACCGCAATTAAATAGAAAATTTGATTGTTCATCTATCATCTTCTCATTCGCACTAGAACTTTTGCCCGCATTCCCACACTACTCATTTCTGTTCGAACATATCATTTTGATAAAGGAAATTATTATTAATCCATAAACTCTGGACAGGATTTGGATTTGGTTATAATGAATGAAGTCGAACTAATACATCTACAAAGTAAGTGAAGGAGCAACAACAAGTTAACTTCAGTTCAGATTTAAAATCAAGAACAAAACCTTCGGGTGGAGCAGAAGCAGAACTTTCGGTGGAGAAGAAGAGGCTGGACCGATATCCTTTCGCAATTTCTTTCTTCTTTGTTCTTCTTCTTCCTTCTGGATCTGAACCTCTGGTTTTTTGAGTTGCTGCTGCCGTTTATTTTAAATTGGGAAAACCTCGAGAAGCAGAGGCTGGGAGTGAAAAATCAAGTTTTGCAAATTACATTTGGACCCCATATTTGTTATATAATTTTAAACAACGACATAAATTTTCAAATAATTAGAAAATAACCCCAAATTCTTTCACCTTCTTTTTTGAATGATACTAAGATTGAAGTCTAGTAAATATTTTGGATATTTTCAGAGTAAAATCTAATTTTTCTTTAAGTTTAAAATAAAACAGTCTCCACTAGATCATTCATGTGACTGATAAAAAACAGAGAAGGATTGACTTTGGAAAAGAAATTTCAACTGACTAATCTATAAGATTAGACGAGTATAAACATCGAAATTACAACCTCCAGTTTACAATTTAGTTCAAGCATTATGCACATAAGCATAAGTGGTATTTGGAATGAATCGTGACAGAAAATTGTGAGATTATATAAAAACCACTTAGCATTGTGGAATTCGAAGTCACAATAGTAAAATGCATGTTACTTATATGTCACATCCTGGGATCGGCTCCGCCGTAACACTATATTATCCTCTTTGAGCCCCCTATCTACCCTCAAGGTTTTGTTTCTGAGAGTTCTAGAGCAACTTCCCAGTGGGTCACTCATCTTGGGATTACTCTAGCCCCAACTCGCTTAACTTCTGAGTTTCCATGAATTTGAAGTTAGTGAGCTCCCAAAAGGCCTCGTGCTAGATGGAGGCGGGCATGTACATATAAGGCACTTCACCCCCTCTCCGTTGGTCGATGTGAGATGTTACAATCCACCCCCCTTATGGGCTCGATGTCCTCGTCGGCATACACGTACCACATGGCAGAGTTGCTATGATACCAAATTGTCACATCCCGGGATCGGCTCCACCGTAGCACGATATTATCCGCTTTGGGTCTCCATCTCTGCTCTCACGTTTTTGTTTCTGGGAGCTCACGAGCAACTTCCCAGTGGGTCACCAATCTTGGGATTGCTCTAGCCCCAACTTGCTTAATTTCGGAGTTCTCATGAATCTGAAGCCAGTGAGCTCCCAAAAGGTCTTGTGCTAGATGAAGGCGGACATGTACATATAAGGCACATCACCCTCTCTCCGTTGGTCGATATGGAATGTTACAGTATATTCATGTTTACATGTACTATTGTATGAATTAAAAGGTTAGATATTCGAAGTTAAGTTAAATTCCTGTTATCATCAGTTAGTTTAGCTTTAGCAATTATCTTTGATAAGACTTATGTACCTACTTGTAATTTCGCTCACCCTTTTATTGAATCGGGTGGGTCACACTTTGTGCACTACTTTTTGGTCCATGTGGAACACATTAGGTTCCAAAAAAAAAAACAGGCTTTGATGAAGTAAAATTCATATGGTGAATTACACTACAACACTGGATTGTTTGGTATTAGATTTGAATCCAATTTTTAAAATTCAAAAACAGAATTTGAATTAAAAACTCAAAAAATCGATTTGCTAGACCTAGTTTTAAAAACCTAAACTCAAACATAATTAAAAAAAACTCAAATACTTGAAAACATAAAGAAATTGTTTTTTTTTCTTTCCTAAAAACTGTTTTCAAGTTGCGTACCAAATAAATTTTTGAGTTTTAAAACATGAATTTTAGAACTTCTTCTTTAAAATTTTTTTGAGTTCTCTACTTGAATATGAGATAATATATAATCTACCTAACATATAGGCATCTTGTTATTTTCAATATTTTTTTTTTGGTTTCTTCAATTTACTTAATAAAAATGTCGTAAACAATAAAAAAGAATAGAAATTTAGTGAAATACCCATTCCTAGACATAAAACTATAAATATACCCTATACCATTCAATATATATAAACACACCCAAAAAAAACCCAAAACTGACAGCTGTTACCTTTTTTAATTTAATTAGATAAATGAAATACCTTTATTACCCATTTAGTATTAAATTAGTTTATTTGAAAAATTTTGGGCACTCTCTCTCTCATCTCTCTCTGTTCGCTCTCGTCTCTCTGCGTTCGCTCTCGTCTCTCTCCAGTGATCTTGGTGCTCCGGCCACAGCCAGCCGTGAGACCGGTCAGAAAAGGACCGGCCAGGGCTGACGATCAAGTCTGGGCTAAAGCCCAGCCACATCAGCCACTCACGACGCCGCTGCGAGCTCAGAAAGGTCTGTGGATTTTGAGTTTTTCGACGTCGTTTCCGGCGACTTCGGCGGTTGTTTCCGTCGATCAAGGTATGAAACTTCATCTACTTTTCGTGCTCTAGCTGTTTATGTATGTGGTTATGATAGATTTTGGAGTTTTGGAAATTAATCAATACACCCTAGATTGTGGTGTTTATGTATATGCAATTGTAGATCCAATTCTTCTTGATTTTATATGTTTATTTTTGTTATTGCCGATTTGGAGGCAAGCTATTGGATTTTATGATTTCGTTCTAATTTGTATTTAGATATTCGTTTGAGTTTTAAATTGTGATTTTAGTTTCTTTTTGTTTATAATTTGGATTGATTTCATATTCGGTTTGGTTGTGGATTTGTTGTTTGAGCTGTGGTTAGAAATTTGTGATATTCGATTTGGTTTTCATATTAATTGAGGTATGCTTTTTCAGTTGAATATGAGTATATTCGTGTTTTTTCTGTTTTTCACTGTAAAGTTCCAGTATAGGGTAGTAACACTGCTTGTTTGCTATGAAATCCTATTTCTAATGCATATCTACCACTGTAAAGTTCCAGTATAGGGTAATAACAATGCTTGTTTGCTATGAAATCCTATTTCTAATGCACGTCTACCAGTGTTATTACCACATACTGGAACTATACAGTGGTAGACATGCATTACAAATAGGATTTCAGAGGAAACAAGCAGTATTAATACCCTATACTGGAACTTTACAGTGCTAGACGTGCATCAGAAATAGGATTTCAGAGGAAACAAGCAGTGTTATTACCCTATACTGGAACTTTACAGTGGTAGACATGCATTAGAAATAGGATTTCATAGCAAACAAGCAGTATTATTACCCTATACTGGATACTGAAATTTCTGATTAATGGCTGTAAAGTTCCAGTATAGGGTAATAACACTTTTTTTGCTATGAAATCCTATTTATAATGCATATCTACCACTTTACAATCCTATTTCTAATGCATATCTACCACTGTGAAGTTCCAGTATAGGGTAATAACACTGCTTTTTTGCTATAAAATCGTATTTGTAATGCACGTCTACCACTGTTAAGTTCCAATCTAGGGTAATAACACTGCTTGTTTGCTATGAAATCCAATTTCTAATGCACGTCTACTAGTGTTATTACCACATACTGGAACTATACAGTGGTAGACATGCATTACAAATAGGATTTCAGAGGAAACAAGCAGTATTAATACCCTATACTGGAACTTTACAGTGCTAGACATGCATCAGAAATAGGATTTCAGAGGAAACAAGCTGTGTTATTACCCTATACTGGAACTTTACAGCCATTAATCAGAAATTTCAGTAGACTAGCGACTAAAATAATGATAGTAAATGTCTGAAATTTCAATATAGGTTTGGTTTGTAAATGTCTTACCTTTGAATCGTTTTCTTGTTGAAATTATTCTCTAAAATTTTGTCTTGGTTTTGTAGGTGAGGTCAGTGTGTGGTGTTTGTTTTTGAAAGTATATCAAGCTTGGTTGTGGTTATGGAGTTTCGGTTTCGAGAGATGAAGAAGACGCTTTGATGAAGACGATGACTGAAGGGACGTTTGGCAAAGATGGTTAATTGAAGTTGCTGGAAGTTACGGTTTTGTTTTCCATTTTTTTGGACAAAAGTTACGGTTTTTTAGATGGTTAAAATGTTTGGGCTTGTTTATAAATTTGAGTTGGGTTGATTTTGGGTGTCTTTTGAGTTTTTTTCTGTTGGGCTTATAAGTGGCAGCCTTGTAATATATAGTAACTTCAATACCAATTTGTTATTTAATAAATGGGTTTTGGGTGTGTTTATAAAGTGTTTTCCATATGGGGTTTTTTTATAATTTCAACACCCATTTTGGGTATATTAGTGAAGCTCCCAAAAAAGAAAGCCAACCATTTTTTTTGGGTTAAAAGAAGAAAAAAAAACTAGACAACGTTAATATACAAAATCTTGGATGCAATTAATAGAATTCATGGATGCAATTAAAAGAAGGAAAAAAAAAGGCAGCTTAATTAATATACCAAAATCATTATGGTCATAAGCACTTAATTTGTTAATTAATTATGGTCATAAACAATTCTTTTATGTAATTATCACATAAATTACAGTTACCCGATTCAAGGCCAACATTGGAACAAAAAATGATTTTAAAAAATAAAAAATAAAAAGATTACAACATAAAATGTTTAAAAAGGAATGTAATCCCATATGGTATAAAAGTCAAAGAACAAAGTCACCAAATCTGAGGATTAAACACAACTTCTCAATGAAAATTTGGATCTATATCAACTTTTCTAAAAAGTGATTGCATGTGATAAGGTCTACTTTCAACGGAAGTGCTCACTTGAGGACCAAATTTTGAGGGACTCTGAGCGCCAAACACATCTCACCCATTGGATTAATCCAACGGTGTTTAATATGGTAGCTTTGAATTCTCCCAATGAAATTCAGTCCAAGCGAAGCCATTGTTTGCATTGCATGATTGGTTTGCTTCAACTGTTGATCAAATTGCTGGGTGACCAGGAATATTCTAGGTCTATTTCAAATATTGATTTTGGATGCACTGCTTGGGTTGAAGATCAAACTGCATAGTCTCTTTTGGGAGTCTATATGAAATTCATTAGATGGAGGAGATGATAGGAAAGAGATTAGAGAGACAGGAGTTGGATATTGCGGGTTACAGAAACAGGTTGGAAAGTTTATATGGGTCTCACTTTTAGTTACTAAGACTACAAGCCGTTGGATTAATCCAACGGGTGATATGTGTTTGCCGCTCAGAGTTCGTCAAAATTTGATCCTCAGATGAGCACTTCTGCTACTTTTCAAAGCACTTTTCAAAGCTGGCATGCGATACTTTTCAAAGCTGGCATTGATTGTGGAAATATCAGAATAATTATGGGACAGGGTAGGGCGCACACTTGGTTGACTTTTGCACTTCTGCTACTTCCTATACGAACGGAACTGAGACTTCTCCATTGGTATTAGATAAGATTATTTTATCAATCTAAAAAACCAGAAGAAAAAAGAAAAGCTGCTAATATGGCCGAAGGTGTTGTTTCAGTAGTGCTCGAAGGGCTCAGCAAGCTTATCATTCAGGAATTGAAATCCTTGGGTGGAGTGGGTGGTAAGGTTCAGAGTGCACAAACCCAGCTACAAATCATGCAAGGCTACTTGAAAGATGCAGACGCAAGACAAGGACGGAATGAAGCAATACGCATTTGGGTGGCAAGTGTTAGAGATGCTGCTTATGATCTTGAGGATGTCATCGAAATTTTTGTCTTAAAAGTGGCTTCCAAGAGGAAAGCAAGTGTTTTGACAAGGTTTTCCGGCATCTTCATAAAAAGAGTTAATCTTCATCAGATTGGCTCAGAAATTAAGAAAATTACAACCAAAATTTCACAGTTGAGTTCGATTTTGCCAAGTTTAAACCTACACCAAACAAGGGAGAGTGGAGGTGATACTTCTTTTCAGAGGCAACAAGAACGGAGGATAGCTTATCCTCATATTGTCGAACCTCATGTGGTTGGGTTAGTCGGTGGAACAGAGATATTGGCTACGCATTTGATCAAAGGAAAAGGCCCCCGAGTTGTTTCTATTTGGGGGATGCCGGGCTTGGGTAAAACCACTTTAGCAAAACAAGTTTATAATCATGGTGAAGTTAAGCGTCATTTCGATTGTTTTGCTTGGGTGTGTATCTCTCAACAATGCCAAGCACGGGAAGTTTTGGAAGAAATTCTGACTCAACTCATTTCTCCTACCAATGAGCAAAGACAAGAAATTGCAAAACTGAAGATTGATCAAATAGCAGAGAGGCTTTGGAATACGCAAAGAGAAAGAAAATGTTTGGTGGTGCTTGATGACATTTGGACCAGTGATGCGTGGAGCTCGTTGCAAGCTGGATTTCCAATGAATGAGGAAACTGAGAGTCGAATTTTACTCACTACTCGCAACAAAGAAGTCGCTTCGTATGCGGACAAAAATGGTTTCCTCTTCGAACCACGGTCGTTGAATGATGATGAAAGTTGGGAATTGTTTGAGAAGATAGCAATGTTTGGAACGGAAGATACAAGTATGTTCTCACACAAACCTTTAATCTCTACTTTCGTGTTTATCAATTCAGCGTGTAACTTTTTCTTTGTCACTCTAAGAAAATTCTACTATAGGATATTCAAAACTTTTGCACTATGAATTGAGATCACTACGCCTCTACATGAAGATAGTAGTTTTATTATCACAATATTAATTATATTCAGAAAATATACTCTAGAAATTACATTTCTTCAATAGAAAGAACATGTACCTAACAACGAATCCCTCACTTAATATCCAAATAAATCAGGGCTCACATAACGGACCAACACAAATCAAAGTTGTAGCCCAAAGAAAAATCAGAAACTTATGTGATAATTTTTTTTGTATACTTTTCGTCAATTGAACACATGTATCTGATCTTAATATTGTTTCCCAGATCATAAAATTTATGAACATAAGAAAGAGCTAGGAACGGAGATGCTTCAACATTGCAAAGGTTTGCCACTAGCCATCACGGTGCTTGCAGGACTTCTAGCTAGAAAAGACACAATTGATGAGTGGAATACGGTGCATAAGAATGTTTATGCATATATAAGGAGAGGCACAGACTTTGGGCCCGATTACATAGGTGAAGGATATGAAGGGGTATCATGGTTATTGGAATTGAGTTACGACAACTTACCATATTACTTAAAACAATGTTTTCTCTACTTAGCCCATTTTCCGGAAGATTATGAAATACCGGTGAGTACATTGACTAAACTATGGATGGCAGAAGGTTTTATATCATCGACATCAGTGGAGATAATGGAAGATGTATCATATATGTGCTTAAGTGAGTTAGTGGGCAGGTGTATGGTTCAAGTTGGAAAACATGGTTCGAGTAAGAAAATCAAGACTTGTCATCTCCACGATCTTATGCGAGATTTATGCATGTTAAAGGCAAAAGAGGGAAACTTTCTCCGTATTATCAATTATTCTACAGTTGTGGAGATCAAGCAAACACCAACTGGTAGAGTTCGAAGACTTGCCATCTATTTGGACGAAACGGTTGAGGCATATTGTCAAGGGAGAGATGAAAATTATGGACATGTTAGGTCTTTGTTATATTTTGTCTCAACATACTGCTACTGGAACTCAAAGGTATTACGGTCACTATTAAGGGACTTCACATTCCTTAGAGTTTTGAAGTTTGAAGGTATGGGTGTTAGAAAGCACAAGTTACCGCATGAAATTGGGAATCTAGTGCACTTAAGGTTTTTAAGTGTAAAGTGTAGTGTGATTTCAGCGGTGTCATCATCTATAGCAAATTTGGTATGTTTGCAGACTCTAGATTTACGTTGCAGAAATTGGACGGTTAAAATTCCAAATGGAAACGTGTTTTCCAAGATGGAAAAATTGAGACATATATATTTACCCTTACCCACCCGATATCATCATTGTGCAAGAGAGAAACGTGAACGTCTGTTATTTGCTACTGAGGCAGTCAATTTGCACACGGTAGTCAATATTTGTATTCAGGCATCATCTGATCTAGTTGATTTTGTTAAACTAACCAACCTTAGAAAATTGGGAGTTATCACATTTGACAAAGGGACAAAAAAGGAGAAAGGGACGAACATCATATTTAAGCATCTCCAATCTCTATCGGTGAACTTTACTTCTGAGGCTGTACCATGGAACATCGTATTAAGCTGTCCTAATATATACAAGCTGCGACTAGATGGACATATCACAGAGTTACCAGAAGACCTCCTGTGCCATACGAACCTCACCAAGCTAACACTAAGTGGATTTGGTAATCTCAAGGACAACCACATAAAAGTATTAGAGAAGTTGCCAAGCTTGAGAATGCTTTTTGCTAGTGTCGGGATTTTTCCGGCAGCTCTTGTTTGCTCAAAGGGAGGCTTTCCATTTCTCGAATTTCTTTCTCTTGATTGCTTGATGGAGTTAAAAGAATGGAAGGTGGAGAAAGGAGCCATGCCTAGTCTCTGCAGATTGCACATTGAGCATTGCTCAGATTTGGAGGCTGTTCCTGATGGGCTCCAATATATTACTACCCTCAAGGAATTAACCATCAAAGAGATGCATTCTGAATTCTGTAGCCGGCTTGGGGAAGGAGGAGAGGATTTTTACAAAATCCAACATGTGCAGTCTGTTATAATTTCAAATCCTTATCACCAAGGAGGAGAGGATAAAATGGTATGCTAAATTTTTTCTTTCTTTCTGTTTTTCTCTTTTCTTATTTATTTTTTGAAGGGAAAAAGAACTAATTGTTTCTCTCCTCTTTTCACTTGAAGTGAAAAAGAGTTGGGGGCCGAGCGCAAGCCTGTAAATCTCATCAAATTAGGTGACAAGTCTGTTTCTTTTTAATGAGCAAATAATTGAAGTCAGCAGCAACACACATCCATTATATCTAAACTAGTATTATATCTATTTTATTTTTGTTTATTTTTGTTTTTCATATAAATCTCTCAGTTCTGCTGCTTCTTGTTATTCATATTGTAGAAAAGCTGATCAAGCATATGAAGACATGATTGACTGGACTATAATTTTCCTGGCAATCAATTCCAGGGCCCCAACAACTCACTTCTCTCGGAATTTTACATTTTCTTTTACCATTTTTACTTGCAACTTCGATTGTATGCGGCTCGCTATTCCTTGAGCAAAGTAGCATATTTGTTCCAAGAAATGTTATAACAATAGCCTCTCAGTCCGTTAAATTGGGACCTTTTTTTTGGTCAAAACATTAAATTGCGTTAAATTGGGATTATTCTAGTAGTTGTAGTCTATTTCCAACACATTTTCAGGTATTATTCTAGAAGTTGAATTCTATTTCCAACACATTTTCGAATACATTAACACTATACACGTATGATCTATGTCTATCCATTATATGCACATACTAGAGATGGAAGAAGGAAAACAATTATAGTGTTTGTTTCATATTGATACCAAACCAGTTTTTGAATTCGTTAAAATAAAAAAAGTTTGAAAAAATGGATTTGAGAACTCCTTGTTTTTAAGAGAGATCAAAGTTTTTGAGTTCCCTACTTGAATAAGATACCAAACACTTTCGCGCATAAAATAATAAATTCCTCGCTAGAGAACTGATTCTTATATTACAGCAATCATCTAAAATAAATAAATAAATAAATAATATATATATATATATATATATATATATATATATATATAT